CCAAAGCAGTCCACATGGTCCCGTTTGCCATGTGTCACACATCCAGGTCAGGTTGAGTGTCGATGATTTGCAGTACGGCTGGCAGGTGGGTCCCACAGGTCATCGGCGTCAGATGCGCAGCAGCTTGAGCAGCGAGAAGCCCGCGTGCAACCAGTGCCCCGACAACCCACGGCACAGGAAAAGCTGTTGCACGAAGCGACACATTTGCCGTTTCAACCGTGGTGTGGGCATTGTGTGGCTATGAGGTCCATGCCGGACAGGGCAGGATCCCTTGTCGACGTGCCAAGGGACATCCCCACGATATCGTATGATTTTTGTTTTACGGGGTTCGATGAAGAGGGCAAGCTTGAGGATTGTCCAGCCCAGGATGCCGAGAGCCGCCGCGCGCTCAAGTGCATGATCATTCATGACACGGCCACCGGCTCTGTGGCCGCCGTCCCCTGCGAGTCAAAAGGAGACAACAAGTACCTCGGCCTGGAACTCATGCGCTTTATCCAGTCCCTCGGCCACACCACCTGCGAGCTCCGATGCGATGCTGAACAGGCCACGCTGTCACTTCAGACAGCAGTTGTTCGAGCTCGATTGCGGCTGGGAATGCGCACGATTGTTCGCAACCCAGCAATCAGTGCCCACTCCAGTTCCGGCTATGTGGAGAAAGCAGTGGACTGTGTTCGAAAGCTAGCAAATACTCTGCTGGACATGGTGCGCGAGAAGACAAAGCTTACGATTGGGACAGACAGTCCCTTGTTCTCTTGGGCGTTCATCCACGCGGCATTCCTGCTGAACCGCTATCGGGTCACCGGGAACCTCACGTCCTACGAAAGGTCCTGCGGCGCCCGTTATTCGGGCAGGATAGCGCCGTTTGGGGAACCCGTCTACGCTCAAGTCACCCCGAAACAAAAGGGGAATGCACGCTGGCTGCTCTGTGTGTTTCTTTCGAAAAGCGTGGTGAACGATATGTTCATAGTGGGCGGTCGTGACGGAGTGCGCCTGGCCCGCTCCATCAGGCGGACTGGGCAGCCATGGGCTCTGGAACAGAAGCTCTACAACGAGCTGGTGGGGAAGCCATGGAATTATGGAAGTGGTGTCATAGGCACCCGTTTCCCAACGTGCCTGCTCTTCCCGAGCACCCGCCTGGCTCAGGCATTGGACCTATGTCCGACGAGCACCAAGATGGACTTCATGAACCACAAGCCTTAGTAGCTCCAGATCTTCTTCTACCTGCAGCGCCACATGTGCCAGTGTCGGCGCCTCCGCCTCCTGGAGTTGCTCAAGCAGTGCCAAGTGGAGCCGTGCCCAGCGCTCACGAGCCAGTGGAGCCCAATCCGGCGATGCGGCCGGTACCACCAGCTACACCTGAGGCCCTGTTGCCTCCGCTTGGACTTTTGTCGCCGCCTCCGACGGCGAGTGAGCCCCACAGCATGGATGTCAGTGCGGGCCGTGAGCCCAGAGCTCATGAGGAGCCTCCGCGGGCAACTAAGAAGTTGCGACTTCGAGCTGTTCAGTTTGGTGACCAGTCGTATGAGGTGAACGACGACCTCGAGCTTGACGTCGACAGCCAGGACTATTGGGATGCAGAAGCAGACCTGTGGGCCGCTACCGAGCATGGCGACCCAGCAGATGATGACTGGGCCCCGGCAACCAGCGATGAGCGTCTTTGGTTTCCTGATACAGGCAGGGCATGAGCCACAACTTGGAGCCGAAGAACTGGCAGCCTTGGATATGATAGCCGACAGCGTGGAGCTGTCCCGCCTTTGCCAGAAGGGCGTGATTCGCCCTGCCTCCGATGCCGACAACATCTGGGACATGAAGTCACTTTCTACGAAGTTCGTGCGGACTTGGAGGCTGAAAAAGGTCAACGGCACGCCTCGATACTTGAGGCGCAGCCGCCTCTGCGCGAGAGAGTTTCGGTGGTTAGATGGTAGCAGAGAGGGACTCTTTTCTCCGGCTACTAGCAGTGATATTATCCGACTACTCCCCGTTCTCTTTCTTCACCACAAGCTTGCAGACCCCAGCACAGAGTACTGTCTCCTCAGCATGGATATAAAGGATGCTTACCTTCAAGTTGATCAACCAGTTCCTGTGGCATCAAAGATCCAGCTTGGGCCCGGGCAGTTCGGCACTTACATCTTTGAAAAAATGATACCAGGCCAACGTGATGGCAGCCAGCAATGGTTTCTGCATTTCATTCGGTTTCTGTCTGAACACTTTACCATTGCGCAGTGTGATGTTTGCCCGGCAGTCATCAAGACTCCACAAGGCCCCGGTATGGTTCACGTTGATGACAGCCTAATGCTCCTCCCTTTGCAGTGGGCCCTCAAAGAGTTTTTGCCTGTGGTGAAGTCCAAGTTTGAGGTGACATTTGATGTTGCAAGCAAGCCCGGCGACGAGTTTTCGTTCCTCAAGCGCCAGCATGTCATCATGGAGGACATGATTGTCATCAGACCACCACCTCAGTACATTGAGCACATGGCAGAGGTTTTGGGGGTGAAACCAAACCCCCGACAACGCACTCCTTGCATCCAGCAGCTTCGTGATAAGGATGAGTCAGCTTTGTTGAGTGCAGCAGACGCTTCAAAGTTTCGAGCAGGAGTCGGCATCGCACTCTACATCAGCTGTGACAGACCCGACATTGGGTACACCATCCGCTGCCTTGCCTCCAGCATGGCGTCCCCTACGATGCAGGCCATGAGTGGACTTCGCAAGTTGACACAGTACTTGATGAACACCGCTGGTTATGCCATCGCAATCCAAGCAAAACCTCCTGGCACCACGAAGCTTAGTGGGTTTCCCGAGCCAGGTGCGGAGTTCGTCCTCGAGGCTTATTCTGATGCTGACTGGTCTGGCTCTAAGAAGGATCGACGCAGCTATGGTGGAGCCAGCTACTGCCTCAACGGTACGTATATCCATTATATTTGCCGTGCTCAGAAGTCAGTGAGTCTTTCGTCGATGGAAGCTGAGTACTATGCAGCTGTTGGCACGGTGTCCCAAGGTCTCTTCATGCAAGCCGTCATTGAGTTTATGGCCGAGACGAAGTGCAGCCTAGTGGTTTATCTTGACAACATGTCTGCCAAGAGTTTCGCTTTGCGGCAAGGGGTGAGCAAGGCTGCAAAGCACATCGAGGGCCGTCTTCTTTGGTTGCAAAATGTGGTGCAGCAGCAGCGTCTTTCGTTGAAGTTTGTGCCAACTCACAAGAACTTGGGCGATTTGCATACCAAACCGCTCGCCCCGGCCAGGCTACTTGCTCTACTTTATCTTCATGACATGGTCGATGGATGCGACAGGCCGGTGGGGCAGATCGAGTTTGAGAATGTTCAAGCAGCACATGCGGTGAAGCTGCAAGTGAAGCGTGCGCGCGGATATTACCGCGGTGCGTCTTCCGACGCCCTCTGCAAGCGCCTCGCCCTGGTGTCCATGATGTTGAGCATGCCCGAGGGAGCCGAAGCATGCCAAGGCCACAGGTGTGCAACTGTGTTCAGTGCCAGTGTGATTTCGTTTGTCATCGCAGCGGTGTGCATCTTGAGAGCTTTGAGCC